CCGGTGCACCTGCGGGAACCACCTGGCCGAGGTGGCTGGCCATCAACCTTTGATAAGATTGACCAGGTCGTTGAGATAATATTCCCTTTCACTTGAGAATATAGCCACCCATCCAGTCCTCAAACTCCTCCTAGGTGGGGAAACTGAGGCCCAGAGAGGAAAAATCCTGTGTCTTTACTTGATGCCCCCAAGAACAAGGCCTGCAGGTGCTTTGTAAGGCCAAGAGGCAGTAGTGAGGAGGAAGAGGCGGGAAGAGAAGCTGGCATAGAGGGTTATATTGAAGTCACAGCCAAGGCAACAAGGGCTGTACCCCCCAGGATGTCTGAGAAGGTACAGATGCCTCCCAGCTCTGTCCGGCTGCAGAACGGGAGAGGACTGAAGTCCCTGAGCGGGCAGGATCCCAGGGAACTGTCCCTGTAGCTAAAAGCAGAGATGCTCCGTGCAGGGGACGGGGGACACCACAGGTGTCTGAGGCAGCCGCCCGCCCAGCCAGCGGCATACCCGGGACGAGCCCTCGGACCGCCAATCCCAGCCTGGTGTTCACTTGCTCCCCACGGAGCTGGGTCCCCGCAGTTTCCCGGTCCGCCTGCCTCGCGACCCACCCTCCTGCGAGACGGCAGCGGCCTCCTCTCCCATTTATAGGGAAACCCAGTGCAGCTCCCCTCTGCCCTGCATACCGTGTCCTTCCCACAGACTCTCCCCTAACAAGACCCAAGCAGTCAATCAACAGAAGGGACGCATGTTCTTTTTAGCACCGAATGGTCGACGTTGGCCCTCAGGCCCCATGCCACACCCTCTCTGATGGGAACAGGGTCTGAGAACTGTTACACTCCCACCGAGGCCTTGGCTGGAGCCTGGCCTCTGTCACCCAGCAGGTGACCACGTGCTGACCTCAGCTGACTGTGTGACACTTTTAACTCTGGGAGCCCTTTTTGCTTTTGTTTTGGAAATCATTAACAGATTTTTTAAATTGTATTTATTTTGAGAGAGGGAGAGAGAGAGAGAGAGAGAGGGAACACAAGCAGTTCAAACCTACAAACCGTTGGATTGTGACCTGAGCCAAAGCCAAGACTTGGGCATTAAACCAACCACCTGGGCACCCAATAGATTTTCCTTACAGCCGTAGAGTTACAGAATAACTGAGCCTTTCTGCTGGGTCACGGTTCCTAGGGACGGGGCAAGGTCAGGCATGTGGCCATGCTGTGGGCAGCCCACCCCCCGGCCGGGTGTGCCAGCCCCCTGAGCCGGAACGGTCTGGCCTGGCACAGCGGAGCCCTCGCCTCTGTCCTCACAGCTCCGGAGACGCAGATCGCACCATCCCCCTGCCCGTCGGGGGCCTCAGCTACATCCAGGGCCTCACGAGACAGCGTCTCATCAACAAGACTGTGGGGCAGTGCCTGGAAGCCATAGCACAGAGGGTCCCTGATCGGGAGGCCTTGGTCATCCCCCAGGAGAATGTCAGGTTGACCTTTGCCCAGCTCAAGGAGGAGGTGGGTCCTGATCTTGAACCCTTGACGTCAGCGGGTGCCAGGCTGCGGGCTGCCCTGGCTGGGTGGAGCTCCGAGGGCAGGGCCCGTCTGCGGGGCAGAGTGAGGGGGGCTGCCTGAGAACCCCGAGGGATGGCAGAAGGGCACAGGGCTGCGGTGGAAGGGGCCTGATGTCTCCTGCATCACTCACTCCCGGGCTTGTTCACTAGGCATATCCCCAGGCCCCATCCAGGCCCACTGAGGCCGGGGAATCTGTCTGTCCCTTGTTTCCAGGTGCTGGTGAGAACCGCTGGGCCCGGGGCTGATTGGGAGTCAGGGCGCCTTCCTGTTCGCCTGTGTCTCACACTTTGTGTTCTGTTTCCATCAGGTGGACAAAGCCGCCTCTGGGCTCCTGAGTATCGGCCTCAACAAGGGCGACCGGCTGGGCATGTGGGGACCCAACTCCTACGCGTGGGTGCTCATGCAGCTGGCCACGGCACAGGCGGGCATCATTCTGGTGAGCAGGGGCTTGCCTGGCACAACTGGGTATGTAGGGGGGGTACACAACTCATGGGGCATCCCCCAGTTCCGTGGCCCCCAAACCAAACCGGTGCCTGACTGGTTTCAGACCGAGGAGTGCTTTCTTCCGAAGCCCGGAAGTGTGGGGCACAGCCCCTGACGACATGGTCTTTCTGTGCCTCCTGAGAGTGGAGAGGCAGTGAGAGGGACAGGGTCTGGCCCAGGTGCTCACTGACGTACCCTCGCTGTCTCCACTAGGTGTCTGTGAACCCAGCTTACCAGCCTACGGAGTTGGAGTATGCCCTCAAGAAGGTAGAGCCCGCTCCCAGGGGAGCGGGGGCCTGGCCAGCCAGCCAGGGGGAGTGATGGGGGGGCAAGGGGGACACTCACAGGTGTATGACCCCCAGAGGCTGTGGGGGCGGGGGGAGGAGAGGGTGGTTGGTCAGACACGAGGCCGGTGTGTGTGTCAAGGTGGCACGTGTGTGTGTGTGTGTGTCAGGGCCGTTCCGCACGCACCAGCTGATGGGCGTGTCCTGGCATCCGCCCACGTGTGTTGGGGGTGCTCTGCGTGTGAGCTGGCATGCGTGTGGCACCTGTGTGTGTCGGGGTGGTGGTATGTGGAGGAGAAAGTTACTGTGAGTGAGAAGGAGCCCGGAGCCCTGCCTGGAGTCCCCTGCTGACCGGGGGCGGGGGGCTCCCCCTCTGCAGGTGAGCTGCAAAGCCGTCACATTCCCCAAGCAGTTCAAGACCCAGCAGTACTACAATATCCTGAAGCAGATCTGCCCAGAGTTGGAGACAGCCCGGCCAGGGGCCCTGAAGAGTCAGAGGTGGGGGTTCCCACCCTGGGAAGGGCACATGGTGTGGCCCCCTGGCCCCCCATCCCCGATCCCCCTCCCCCCCTAGGGATGAGGCTGGGGTCCCCCTAGGCCTTCCCTCAGCCCCTGATCCTCACTGCCCTCCCTACCCACAGGCTGCCAGCCCTGACCACAGTCATCTCGGTGGATGACCCTCTCCCGGGGACCCTGCTCCTTGATGAGGTGGTGGCAGCTGGGGGCACAAAGAAGCATCTGGCCCAGCTCCGGTACAGCCAGCAGTTCCTGTCTTGCCGCGACCCCATCAACATCCAGTTCACCTCGGTAGGGCCACGGCCTCCAGGCCCCGAGCCCCGGCTGGCCTGCTAACCCCTGTCCGCCCCTGTGACCCTTCCCCAAGAGTGAGATGACAGAGGAGGTCCAGGGTACGGACACCCTTCTCCAAGGTCAGGCCCAGCTGTCCTCTCTGCCCTGGGAAACACCGCCACCTGGTGTCCTTGTCACGTGCCCCCGTCCCCTGGCCCCCTCATCCTCACACGGAGGCAGAGGCCCTGGGCCAGGCAAGAGCTGACAGATCTGCCTCCTTATTTAGTAGATGGGGAAACTGAGGCTCAGAGAGGGGATCTGCTGGTGGGCCACGGTTCTCTGGGCCACTTTGTGAGGGGCCTAAGGACAGACACCTCAGCTCCCACGTTGCTGGACCCTCACAGCTGGCACTGTGCAGGCACGCGGTAAACCTTTGTGAACACGTGTCCTGTGAATGACTGGATCAGGGGCCCTGGTCCCCGTCTCCTGACTCCCGGTCCGGTGCTCTCCCACATGGTGGCCCAGGGTGGGAAGGACATGGGGAGCAAGAGGCCAAGCGTCACCTGCTTGCTTTATCAGGGAACGACAGGCAGCCCCAAGGGGGCCACCCTCTCCCACTACAACATTGTCAACAACTCCAATATGATAGGGGATCGGCTGAGGCTGCACCTGAAGGTGAGGGGGCTAGCGCAGGCCCTGCAGGGTGGGGGGCGGGTAGGGGGGGCTTGCTGGGCTCCCCCTGCTGGCTGGGGGAGGGGAGGGGCTTCTGGCTCCAGGGTAGAACCAGCCTCCTACCTCCGGCTCCAGACGGCAGAGAACTTGCGGATCGTCCTGCCCAGCCCCCTGTACCACTGCCTGGGCTCTGTGGGTGGCACAATGGTGAGCATAATGCACGGTGCCACCCTCATCCTACCCTGTCCGGTCTTTGATGGCAAGAAGGCGCTAGAGGCCATCAGCAAAGAGAGGTGGGCATCAGTGGGCAGCCCCCCAGGGGCTGGTGAGACCCTCCCATTCCTCAGTCCTGGACCCCGATCCCTTTCTGAGCCGTCTCCTCCCTTCAGCCCTGAGAGATGGAGACAGGGGGAGTGGGGGACCCCCAGTTTCTGCCTCCTGCCTCCAGAGAGCTTCTCCTTCCCGCTTCCCACATATATGGCCTCAGCCCTTCCTGGGGGTTCAGGGTGGGGTGGGGGAGAAGAGTCCCCTTCCACTTCCAAGCCTGATTTTGAGACTCTGCCTCCCCCCACCCCACCTTATACAGAGGCTCCCTCCTGTATGGCACCCCCACGATGTTTGTGGACATTCTGAACCAGCCAGACTTCTCCAGTTATGACATCTCGTCCATGTGTGGAGGTGGGGTAGGACCCAGGGTAGCCAGGCCAGCGCTGACCTGGTGAGCTAGATATTTAGGAGGCAACAAGACCCTGCAGAAAAGTGGGTGGGAGGGAGGCAAATCCCCAGCATCCCTGGACACCAGCCCAAGGCCAGCCGCCAGGTGGAGAAACAAGTCCAGGGTCAAGGGCGAGAGGGGAATGATGTTCTCTAGAAGGAGCTATAGGTGAAGGGGGTCTGCCGCGCCCGGAGAAGCAGGGAGCTGTGTCAGTCGTCTCTCTGATTCAGGCGTGATTGCTGGGTCCCCGGCACCCCCAGAGCTGATCCGAGCCATCATTGACAAGCTGCACATGAAGGAGCTGGTGGTGAGTGGTGGCTCGGCTGGGGCTGCGGGCAGGGGGCAGGCCAGGCCTGGGGGGAGAACAGACTGGTGTCTGTGGGGACGAGCTCAGGCCAGATCTCCAAGGAAGACCCTCTCGGTGGGCCCTCATTCTGAAAAGCAGATGTGTGAAAACGCAGCCTGACCTTGCCAACAGCTGGTGGGTCAAAGGAACAGGTGACAGAGGAGTAAATATTACACATACATACATTTATATTTACGGAAATCTGGAAGGGGAGGGCAGCACGGGAGGGTATGCGGCAAAGCACCAGTGTCTCCCTAGAGTGTCCTGGCAGGCAGGGGGCTGGCGAACTTGGGCCCTTTCTGGAAGAAAGGGGTGGGGCAAAGATCTGGTATTTGTTTCCAAACGGCACGGTAAGGGGAGCAAAGGGAAGGAGGATTCGGGAAGGAGGGGGGGCCATCCCGATGGCCCCCCTGTTCTGGTTCTGAGGGACTTGGGGTCTTGGCAATAGCTTCTTTGAGAGGAGCCGTGGCGGTGGGGCCAGGCCTGATGGAGCTCTCACCGCCGGGGGGAGCCGGGTTCGTGCTGGAGTGCCCGAGGCCCCCCGCCAGGACGTGTCTAGGTTTGGACAGCTCTGTGCATCAGCAGAGGCTGTGGGGAGAAGGTGGGGGTCAGAGGTGGGAAGGTCAGTAGTTTCTCCGGCTGAAGGAAGAGGCCGGTCGCCAGGACCGGCTGGGTCAGGACCTGCAGTGAGGCAAGGCTGGGTGTCAGGAGCCCTATGGCCTAGGCAAGGCTTGCAGAGAATGGGGGGGGGGGGACCCAGGCAGCGTCGTTTTCCCCTTTAGAGGGGAGCCCCAGCCCTCCCCTCCTCTCCCTGCACGAACGGAGAGTATGCATGCCCCTCTGTGGGGACAGAGTACCCTGGGATCCCCCCCCTCACTTGCTAGAATCTCCAGAGAGGGGAATAGGGGAGCTGCCCACTCGTCTCCCACCTGTTCAGTGGCGGCCGGCTTTCTTGGATCTCTTGGTGGGGAACTTGCAGCCGCGGAAGGCGTCGGTGTCACGGATATGCTGGCCTTTGAACTTGGCGGGTGAGGCACAAGTGGCATCAGGGCGGGAAGTCTTGGCTTCCAGCCACCTAGAGAGACAGAGAGTCATTGGGATTGGGCGGGAGATGGCAGGGTGTGTGTGCGTCGGGGGTGGGCAATGAGCCCAGAGGCCAAGATCCGCTTATCTCTAGCATAGCCCGGAAGCGTCATCTTCATTTTACAGACTCCTTGGGTCCACACCTATTAGGTAGCAGATCTAGGACACATGCCCCAGATGCCTTAGCGCAGGGCCAGTGTGCCTCCTCTCCATCACGAGGGCAGGTCGCGGGGGGCAGCATGGGGGTGTTCTCACCTCCGAAGACCCCGGAGCTGGCAGGTGCATTTCCACGGATTGTTGGTGAGGGTGAGGGTCTCCAGGCTGTCAAAGGGGAAGTTGGAGGGCAGCTGCGTCAGGCGGTTGTTTTCCAAGTGAATGTGTTTCAGCGTGGTCACCCCCAGGAAGGCACCGTCCGAGACCTGGGGAGCGAGGAGGACGTGAGTGAGCACCCCAGCCCCCGGTGTTCAGCCACTCCCAGCTCTAAGGTCCCAACGGGGGCAGGCTCCTTCCCCAGACGTCAGCGGTGGCTCCTTGAGGCGTTTTAAACTGTCTCAGATGATCTAATCCATACGACCACCTTTTTTGAGACAGCTGGCGTTATTTCCAAAATGCAGATGGGGGCGGGTTTGGGGTGGGGGGGGAGTCACGTCTCTTGCCCGGGGTCACGCTGGAGAGTAAACAGTAGCTGCAGGACCACGCCCGGCTCCTCTCCCCCTGGCACCACGCTCCCTGCACAAATACGGGGTCTGGGGCGACAGCCAGAGTTTGGCTCCAGCCGCCCGAGTTGGCACTCGGTGAAGCTGGTCAGTGTTTGGTAGGACGGGCCGTGGGCCCGGGCTCCCCGCAGCCCCAGGGTCCTGGGACTTCCCCTGACTCTGTCCTCACTGCTCCCTCACCGCTTGCCAGATGCTATTTGCGGAGGCTCTTGGTGGAGCCTTTGGCCAGGCTGGCCGGCTCCAGAGGAAACATTCTATCGGTGCCCACATCTTGGCCCAGGCATCAGAGTCCTGCCTGGCCGCCCCTTTCCACCCCCACCCTGCCCCAGATCAGCCCCTGCCGCCCTGCTCTGCTACCCATGAAAAGGCCACTCCGGTGCTGGTGGGCCACAGGGAAATCCGACTTCATGTCTGCAGGGGCCGGGGCTGGAGAAAGGCAGGCCACGTCCACCCAGACAGAGTTGGCTGCCATCCAGGTATGAGTCTGCTCTCATCTCTGTGGCTCAGGGAGGGGATATGAAGTTCCCTGGTAGCCAGCCTGTTCTGGCGACAGGCTTCTCCACCTTGCCTCGGTCCCCACCCAAACCTCCTGGCCGAAGCCCCTGTCCCAGAGTGATTTTCCAGTCCCAAGGAGAGAGTCCACTCCCACCCAGGGCAGCCCCACCTGGGTATCACAGGGGAGGACGGACTGAGCAAGGATGCGGCCAGGAGATGGGTCTGGTGACGGGGGGCAGGGCAAAGGGCAGCCAGTGGTCTGGGGGACCGTGTGGCACAGCCAGCCTTCCCTGTACGGAGATGCCTGGAGTCCTGCATGTGGCTCTTGCCCTTGTGCCTTCACAGAGCCCATGGGTGCCATCCCTGTAACTTGGGGGGGGCTCCTGGCTCCTGGGCCCCCTCCACTGAAATGGACCTGAGAACGCAGTGGAGTGTGCATGGGTGTGAACTGGGAGGTGGGGGAGGGACATTCGCCAGGGCCTCTGGGGGGCATGGAGGAGGTCTTCTTCCTCTGCAACTTGCTTTCCCCTCCCCCCCAGCCCCCCGCCCCACCTTTGCACACACGCACACCCCCCCACCAAGAACAAGGTCTCTTTGTGGGCCTGTGGAAAGTTTCTCCATAAACAAACCTTCCTTTATGGGGCGGTAGGCTTACTGGAGACAGGAAAAAAACAGCAGAGGAGGGATGGAAGGCCCGACAGGAAGAGGTGGCTCCTGCCCACAGCAGGGGGTATGGGAGCACTGGCCGTGCCTCCCCAGGGGGCCACCAGCCATGGGGCCCGGGGCAGCCCCAGCTCCGTCTGTAAGTAGGAATCCTAGAAGGGCAGTGGCTAAGTGAGACTAGGCACAGGGGCAGCAGAGGCAGGATTTAGGGTGAGGACGTGACCAAATGAGGGACAGAGGTGACGGAGCCCTTCACCTTGGAGGTAGCCAGAGAGACAGAAGCAAGTTTAGGGGAGGAGGGATGGTGTCCGGCTGTGGCCCCCGGGCCCCTGGGCCTCGAGGCAGGAAAGGAGCCCGGGCCGAGCTCTGCAGCCCGCAGCTCACCTTCTCCAGGTTGGCGTCGTCCAGCCACAGGGTCTCCAGGTATCTGCCGAAAGACTGGAAGGCACTGTCAGGAATGCTCTTCAGGGGATTGTGGGACAGCTTCAGCTCCTCCACCACCCGCAGCTTGCTTAGGGCGGCCGAGGGGTAGCTGGACAGCTGGTTCCCGTCCAGGAAGAACTTGGCAAGGTTCTCCACGTCGTCCAGGGCACCGGGCTGCAGCGAAGTGAGCGCGTTTTCCGACAGGTAGAGCCAGCGCAGGTCCTTGGCGCCCTGGAAGGCGCCGGCCCGCAGCTCGCGGATCTTGTTGTTGTTGAGCTGCAGGATGAAGAGGTTGACCAGCGGGGAGAGCAGCCCCCGGGGCAGCTCGGTCACCTTGTTGTGGTCCAGGTAGAGGTAGGTGAGCTCTGTCAGGTCATCGAAGGCGCCAGCGCGCAGCACACGGATGTCGTTATGGGACAGGTACAGGTAGATGAGCTGCTTGAGGCCCCGGAAGGCGCCTGCGGCCACCTCCCGGATCTGGCAGTGCTGCAGGTGCAGCGATACGAGTTGGGGCATGGCCCGGAACGAGTTGGCGGCCAGCACTGGGAAGTTGTTGCGTTGTAGGTTGAGCAGCTTGGTCTTCTCTGACACCTTGGGGATCTTCTGCAGCCCCATCTTGTCGCAGATGACGTGCTGCAGGTCGCCGTGGCAATGGCAGTTCTGGGGGCAGGCGGCCAGTGCCGGCAGCAGGCCGGCCAGGAGGCCGAGGCTGAGCAAGAGCACCGGACGAGCCATAGCCGGGACGCCTGGGATGCTGGGGCCGGGGGGCGGCGGCGGCGGGGCGCGCGCAGCGGCAAGTCCTCGGCACTCCGGTCTCCTGCCCTATTTATACGGTGGCCCTGACCGCAGCCCGCAGCCCGGAGCCCGGAGCCAGCTTCTACGTGGAGCATCCAGGCCACCGGGCTTAACTCCCTCCCGCCCAGGGATGCGCCCCCGCCCTCGACGGGGAGGGGCGGGGCCCTGCCCCCCCCCCCGCCCCGCCCCGCTGGTGACCTTGCTGGGGTCTGACCATGACCCCGAGCCTCGCCTCCCCTGGCCTCTTTCTCCCTGCTTTCAGACCCTGCCTCTCTCCCGACCCCCTCTCCACCTTCTTTCCCCATCCTTTGGGGGGTAGGGATACTAGTGCGCCCAGAGCCCCAAGTTCACACCGGAGAGTGGAGGCGTTCCCAAACGTATTTGTTTGCTCAAGTTTGTGCCTCCAAGCCATGCCCCCCCCCCCATACACGCTCGGGCCCAGAGCCCTGGCCCCCGGGAGGGAGGAGAGGGAGGAAGCGGGGCCGGACAGCCGGACGCGAGTCTCGCCGCGGTCGGCCGCCGGCGCTTTAATAGCCCTCTTGTGCGGCGCCGGCCGAGCGTGAGAGCCGCGCTGGCGTCGGGCTCCCCCTTGCGGCTGGACCGCGGACCCACCCGGAGGAGGTGGGCTCACCTTCCCCAACCTTGGGCTTGTCTCTGGCCCCCCTCTCTCCCAGCGCCAGGCGTGAGTTTCTGTCCCCAGCACTCCCGTCCGTTTTTCCACTGCTGAAGGCTAACCAGAAATGTGGGAACAGCGGCGGGGAGTGGGAGGGGGGACCCCCTAGAACTCGCAAACACACCTGAAGACCACAGGCACTGAGTGGGGACTGCGGATCCAGCACAGTCACACCCTCTCTCTCCTTCGTTTCCCTAAAATATCTCCATCTCCTCATCCCCACCCCCAGTGGTCAGGACCTGCCCCTGAGGGGTCTCCCAGGGTGGTGGCCAGAGTGGCGCCAAGGTGTACTTGGCAGAGGCCACACCTGGGCAGTGGCCCCAGGACTATGGGGAGGGGGGGTGCGGGTGGGTGGGGGTCAGGTCCTGGCTACCAGGGTTCAGCCCTGGACAACCTAGCTCCTGTGGGCAGCCGTGCCCCAGCTGCCCAGGTCTCTGTGTGCCCACTTGCCAGCCATGGTGTCCTTGTTCCTGTGGAAAGAGGGAGAGGGGGAGGCAGGCCTGGTGGGAGCCCTGGGCTGCCTGGTGGAGGTTGTTGTCTGTGTTTGGGGGGGGGAGGGGCCCCAGCAGCGCGCCAGCCAACACAGAGGAAATGGGGGTGGGGGTTGATCGACAATGGTCTGCTGTCTTTGTTGATCAGAAGCCTAGATTACAGGGTAGCTAGCACCTCTCGTAAGCCCCTGTCACCCATGGTCTCTAGAGGGGGGGGTCACAGTTGGCTCAGAACATTCCCTGCTGGTATTTAGGCTCCTCCGAGGTGGCTGGCTTCTGGTTTTCTGTTGGTCAGGATGTTCTAACCACTGGAAGTGTCGGGTGGTGGGGTCCCACTGGCTTGTAAACCCCGCTTTAACTATATTTTCATTGTGATGGAAATACAGTTACAGGAAAATCTCCAAAGCTTGGGGTCACCCACTACAAGGCCAGGCATTGATCTCGGGGTTTCGGGCGGGCGGGGGAGGGGGGAAGGTTGCGTCTGTGCAGTTTCCAGCTGGGCCAGGGCAGGCTGGCTTTCTCATCAAGTTCATGGAACCTTCCGTTTGGAAGGGAGGGAGAGGGGATGTTGTGGCCTGAAATCAGGAAGGGCTCAGCCAGCCTGGGGAGGAGGGAGAGAAGGCTGGGGCTTCGGTAACGCAGGGAACCACACGTTTAGGCATGAGGCCGCTCTAGGAAGCAGGGAAACAGAGAGCCCTGGCTAAAAAAGAATGGCTTCCTTGATCTCAATTTTATTTCGGACCCGGGGCCCCTGCTGGTTGAGTTAGGCCCTTCTGCCCATAGGCCTCTTTTCTCCTCACTCCACAGCCCTCCACTTTCTCCTGGGTTCCTTCACATTCCCCCAGGGGAGCTCACCCTTCCCTCTGCAGCCCCAGTGCTGTCTCCAACCCTTCCCCCAACTCTTCAGGTGGCTTATGGAACCACAGAGAACAGTCCCGTGACCTTCATGAACTTCACCGAGGATACCGTGGAACAGAAGGCAGAAAGCGTGGGCAGAATTATGCCTCACACAGAGGTTAGCTCCAGACGGAGACCTTTGGACCCCACCTCCTATCTCTCAACCGGGGCGCCTTCCCTGGGGACATTTACTACTTTCTATCAGGGAGCCATGCGGCTCCCTCAAGGTGCTGAGAACACCCCCAGTCCCCCAGCAGCAAGGGCCTCCCCAGGCCTGGCCTGGGGCTTTCTCTGTGGGCTGAGGCCTGAGAGGGAAGAGCTCGAGCGGTGGCCTTGAGCCTGAACTCTCCGCAGCCTCCCTTCCTGTCTGAGGTGTGTTTTTGCCAAGCCCCACTGTCTGTTTCGGGCCAGCCAGGACGGCCTCAAAGAGGAGCCAGAGCACACAGATTTTTCCTACACGGTTTTTCCCTCTACCCTACCCCCGCCCCTGCCTCTACAGAGCCCCTCTTTTTGCTTGGCATAAACACTTAGTTTCCCAGGCAGCCTGTCCCTTTGAGGGCCCCTTGCACCTTGAAGGCTGATCTAGAGCTTCTCTCACTGCAATTCCCAGCGTGGCGCCTTTCCTGCCCCCATGCCAGTGCTTTGTGCCAGCCCGCACCTGGTTTCCCCTGCCCCCTTGTGCCCTGGCTCCGCTGGAGTGCCCAACCCCCATCCTGGTACAGTCCTCCTGCCCCCCTCCACGGAGTGTGCGGTGACATTAGAGTCCCTTGCCACATGTCTGACGGTTTCACTGCCACTCACGGGGATGCCCGCCTGCAAGGTAGACAGGGGCAAGTGGAGTTCTCCCCATTTCACAGATGCAGACACCGAGGCACACAGACTAAGCTTTTCTTGCACGTCGCCGAGGCTCCTTTCTCTGCTAGTCTTTCAGACTGCCTCTCCGGCTCCCCCTGTCCACATGGCCCAGCCACACCACCCTCTTTGGCTACTTTATTTGCCGCTTAATGGGAAATAAGAGGAGACTCCCTTTCCTTCTGCACAGTTTGTAACGCTGCAGCTGGCCTGGCCCTCCGCAGGCCTTCTCCTCCGCGGCAGCGGCTGCCCCCTCCGTTTCCTTGGCCCCTCCCTGCCTGGGCTGTTCTTTCATGCCCGGCTCAGGTGTCTGGCTGGTGAAGGATCTACTCCTTCTCCAGTCTCTGTCTCCCTTCCCCAGATTGGGCTGGGCGGAGCCAGGGGCTGGAAAGGCAAAGCAATCCCTGCCCCCATTCCGAGCCTCCCCCCACCCCCGCCCCGCCCCCTCCCATCCCGAGGTGAGAGGGCAGGAGGCCACAGCCTGAAGTTGCCCGGTCCCAGGCCCAGATTGTGAACATGAAGACCGGGACACTGGCGGAGCTGAACACATCCGGGGAGCTGTGCATCCGAGGGTACTGCGTCATGCTGGGCTACTGGGGCGAGCCCCAGAAGACTGAGGAAGCCATTGGGCAGGACAAGTGGTATCGGACAGGGTGAGGAGGCAGCGGGGGGCCGAGGAGAGGCCGGTGGGGGCGGTGGGGGTCCTGAGACTTAGCTGGAAACGTTAAACTAGAACAGGGAGAATGTGTTGGTCAAGACGGCTCCTTCGCATTCTGGAGACTCAGTTTCCAAAATGGGTAAAATGAGGATGATCATGCTCTCTGCACAGGGCACCCGAAAAGATCAGACACAGTATGGACGAGAGCACCTAGGACAGGGCACCACACCGGTGTCTGTAAAATCGGAGCCAAGATGCACTCATCTGTCAAATGAACAAATTCTTTTTTTCTTTTTTTATTAAAACAATTTTTTTTATAGTTTATTTATTTTTGAGATCGAGAGAGACAGAGCATGAATGGGGGAGGGGCAGAGGGAGAGGGAGACAAAGAATCCGAAGCAGGCTCCGGGCTCTGAGCTGTCAGCACAGAACCCTATGCAGGGCTCAAACTCATGAACCATAAGATCATGACTGGAGCCAAAGTCAGACGCTTAACTGACTGAGCCACCCTGGCACCCCATCTTCTTCTTCTTTTATTTATTTTTGAGAGAGAGCACAAGCTGGGGAGGGGCAGAGAGAGAAAAGAACAGAGGATCTGAAGTGGGCTCCACACTGACAGCAGAGAGCCCGGTGTGGGGCTCGAACCCACAAACCCTGAGATCATGACCTGAGCCGAAATCAGATGTTTAACTGACTGAGCCACCCAGGCACCTCTCCATGGAGCAAATTCTTATCATGCACCCACTGCCCATGTGCCAGCACTATTCTGGACCCTGGTGGTCTGCGGGAAGGCGGGATGAAGAGGGTCTTACTTGCTACATGTCTTGGGGAGGAAGACAGACAGGAAAGAGATCAGTTCAGACATTGATAAATGCCAGGAAAACAGCAAAACAGGGTCAGAGGAAAGAAAGCAGCAGTGGTGGGGGTGGGAGCTTCTCTTAGACCGGGAAGCGGGGGGGGGGGGGGGGGGGGGGGGGGGGCGGTTAGAGAAAACCTCTTTAAGGTGGACATGTTTAAACTGGCCCTGAATGATTAAAAAAAAAAAAAAAAGCCAGCCATGAAAAGCATATATACAGAACGTCTTATTTATACCATATCCGCCAGAATCTAGAGCAGTGTGTGGTGTGCAATAGGTGCTCAATAAATGTTTGGTGGCAAGCAGGCCAGTCAGATGAGGCAGAGGTGAGAGGTCATTCCTGGACTTTCTTCACAGAGACATCGCCATGATGGACAGTCAAGGCTTCTGCAAGATTGTGGGCCGCTACAAGGATATGATCATCCGGGGCGGCGAGAACATCTACCCGGCCGAGCTTGAGGACTTCTTTCACACACACCCGCAGGTGCAGGAAGTGCAGGTGAGGCACCCAGCCCAGGCGAGCCCAGGTGAGCCCCGCAGGGGCAGGAAACAGGGATAGGCATGGCCGTGTCTGACATCTGTCTCTGGTGCCCCAAGGTGGTGGGCGTGAAGGATGACCGGATGGGGGAGGAAATCTGTGCCTGCATTCGCCTGAAGAAGGGGGAGAAGACCACGGCGGAGGAGATCAAGGCTTTCTGCAAAGGGAAGGTGGGAGCCTCAGCCCGCCCTAAGCTGCTGTCGATTTGGTCTTCCACCCCCTCTCCCTGCCAGCCAGCCCGCTGTCCCCTATCCCTGCCGCCTCACCCAGCCTCACGCTTTATCTCCCTCGGGCCTGCAGATCGCCCACTTCAAGATTCCCCGATACATCGTGTTTGTCACAAACTACCCCCTCACCGTCTCGGGAAAGGTGAGTAAAGGAGACCAGAGAGGGGCAGGGTGGCCTGGGGTCCGGAAGGCCAAGTGGCTCCCCCTGTGCCTCCCTCCGTGACGGGCCAGCGAGCCTGCCTTGCCACAGCCTTTCCCGACTTGACCCTAAGAGACTCCTCAGTCCCAGGCAAAACAAGCCCGTTGGTAACCATGGTTGGCAGAGTCCCTGAGCCTGGCTCTCACTCTGTTCTTTTTTCTCTAGATCCAGAAATTCAAACTTCGACAGCAGATGGAACAACATCTAAACCTGTGAATAAGGAGTTGGCGGGGCGGGGGGAGGGGAGGGGGTGTCCTCCTAGGCCCTCCCTGCCCCTCCCCCACAGCCCCCTGTCTGCGTGATTTGGCATAAAGAGCTTCTCTGTTTTCTTTGGTTTGTCTCTTGCTGGTGTGTTCTCTTGGCAGCCGCTACGGGATGGAGAAGCAGGGAGACACTTTCAGACCCTCCCCGTCCTTGTCACAAAGATGCTGACTTTGGTGTGCACTATCTAGTTCATTTAATCCTCACTGATCCCTTTGAGATACGAACCCAAATCGTTGCTTTTTTCCCTATTGTCAGATTAGTCCAGCAAGAAGTGTTCTTTTTAAAACAACAAGAGCTTAGGGCACCCGGATGGCTCAGTCAGTTAAGCGTCTGACTTTGGCTCAGGTTATGATCTCGCAGTTCGTGAGTTCGAACCCGACGTAGTCGGGCTCTGTGCTGACAGCTTGGAGCCTGGAGCCTGCTTCAGATTCTGTGACTGCCCCTCCCTCTGCCCGTCTCCCACTCATGCTCTGTCTCTGTCTCTCAAAAAATAAATGTTACAAAGATTTTTTTTAAGCAAGAACATTTTGGGGCGCCTGGGTGGCTCAGTCAGTTACACATCCGACTTCCGCTCAGGTCATGATCTTGCAGTTCGTGAATTGAGCCCCACATCAGGCTTTGCACTGGTGGTGCAGAGCCTGCTTGGGATTCTCTCTCTCTTCTCTTTCCCCACTTGCATGCACGCTCTTTCTCTCCCTCAAAATAAATATACTTTAAAAAATTAAAACGGTATCAGCTTTACTAACATACAATTTCACACACCATCCAATTCACCCATTTGAAGTAGCCTATTCAATGGTTTATAGTATATTCACAGATACGTGCAATCATCCCCGAAGTCGATTTTTTAAATTTCTGGTTGTTGTTGTTAAGGGGGGGAAAGAAGGGTAGAGGGAGAGAGAGACAGAATGTGAAACAGGCCCCAGGCTCTGAGCTGTCAGCACAGAGCCTGATGCAGGGCTCGAACTCACAAGCTGTGAGATCATGACCTGAGCCCAAGACGGATGCTTAACCAACTGAGCCACCCCGGTGCCCCCAAAGTCGATGTTTTTAAAAAATTTTTAATGTTTATTTTTTTTTATTTTTGAGAGAGAGAGAGAGAGAGAGACAGTGCAAGCGGGAGGGGGGCAGAGAGAGACAGAGACACAGAATCCAAAGCAGGCTCTAGGCTCGGAGCTGTCAGCACAGAGCCCGATGCGGGACTTGAACTCACAGACCACAAGATCATGACCTGAGCCAAAGTCGGACGCTTAAACAACTGAGCCACCCAGGTGCCCCCAAAGTCAGTTTTTTAAATTGAAGAATAGTTGACACACAAATGTTACATTAGTTCCCCAAAGTCAGTTTTAAACATTTTCATCACCTTAAAAAGAAACTCCATACCCTTTAGCGTCCACAGAGGCAGAAACTTTCCTGCTGTTTTGACTACTTACCTCCCAGTGTGTCTGTCCCCTGCAGTAGAGGCTTCCTCTTTAATTTTTAGAAAACAAACATAAGTTTAGCACGCTCTGAGTGCCCAGCACTCCGCTAGGTGCTTTCATGTGTGTTTTCTCTTGGAATCTTCCCAGCAACCCTACGAAGTAGGCACTGGCCCCATTTTACAAACGCTGAAACAGACTCAGAAAAGTTCAGAGTCTTACTGGAGGCCACACAGCGGGACTTAGTACCCAGATACCTGGCTCCAAAGCCCATGATCTTTCCACTCTATCAAAGAGTTCTTCAGATGCCTGCCTTTCACCTGCACCCCGTCTCTCCCAAATATACCATCTTTGACATTCCTCCCAGCAGGTGCCCAGGTTGGCCTGACCCAAGGGATGACAGCTTACTCTCCTGGCCAAGCTAATTGTCCCTGGGACTCTCTGCTCCTTCAACATCCAGCTCAAGGCGCCCTCTCCTTCCCCACCGACCCCACGGCCCTTGTAACAGACCCGCCACACAGCACAGAGGACATTGCCCTGGTATCCAGCAAGTTTTGAATTAATACCTATTACCTGCTGCCTCTTGCCGGCTTGTCTCTCTCCTCTTATGCACCTGTACTGGGACCTGATCTTACGCATCTAGATGTCGCCAGGGCCCAGCTCCGAGTCAGGCACGTACAATGTGAGGGGCTGAACGGACTAAGAGTTCTTGGATGGGTCGGGGAACTCAGCCTCAGCCAAAAGGCAGGCTCAGCCCACAAGCGTCTCCTGGCAAGGACGGACAGGCGGCCGAGGTGAGCGCGTCCGTGCCCGGCAGGTGGCGCCGCAGACGCGAGGCGCGGGGCCCTCCCAGCTCGTCCGGGGACGCGGGGCGCGGTCACGCAGTCCCTCTTCCTCCTGCCGGGGCGGCCCGAGCGGCGCAGCCGGCCCCGCTCTGCGGACTCCGGGGCGGCCCGGGCGCGCGTCTGCCGGAAGTCCCCGCGCAGCAGGCGGCTCCCCGCCGCAGCGGGCGCCCTGGCGCTCCCCGGGGCCCGGGCCCGCGGCTGCGCGGCGGCGACCAAAATGGCCCAGAGGCGCCGCCACGCGGAGGTCGCCAAAGGATCCCCGAGTCCGGCGCCCCCGAGCTCGCGCGCGGCGCTTTACGTGCACGTGAGTGGGGCGGGGGCGGGGCTCGCGGGGCGCGGCGGCGGCGGTGCCGAGTCCACGTGGCGGCCGGTCACGCTGGGAAGCCACCCGCCGTCCCTCCCCGCCCCCAGACGAGGTCCGGGACGGGACGCGGTGCCCCGGCAAGGACATGCCCGGTCCGGAGACAGGTCTCCGGTGCTCTTCAGTTCGGTGACCTTGACCTTGACCGAGGGATTTCCCGCTGAGCCTCAGTTTTCTCCTAAAGAAGTGGGCATAGTATTCCCCATCCCACTTTCCTTGGGGGAATTGCTGGCTTAGAGGGCTTAGGCGCTGTTGACGACCTTGGGATGGGGGTGTGTGCGACAGAACCCTGCAAGTGGCTTAGAGCCGCTGGGGTCACATCTCGCCCAGCTCATTCACCCCTGCCCCCAGTGGCCGTACTGCGAGAAGCGCTGCAGCTACTGCAACTTCAACAAGTACGTCCCCCGCGGCGTGGAGGAGGCTGCCATGCGGAGCTGCTTGGTGACTGAGGCGCGGACTCTGCTGCGGCTCAGCGGCGTGCAACGGTGGGTCCCGGGGCCATCGGCGGGGCCTTGGAAATTGGGCGAGCAGCTGGGACCGCTGTAGGCGTCCCCGAGGACTCCCCCAAGTCTCATCTTCTCCATCTTCTTTCCCCAGGGTGGAATCTGTGTTCTTCGGTGGGGGCACCCCCAGTCTGGCCAGTCCCAGCACCGTGGCCGCTGTCCTGGAGGCAGTGGACCAGGCAAGCCACCTGCCTGCAGACTCCGAAGTCACATTGGAGGCCAACCCCACCTCGGCCCCAGGCTCCAGGCTGGCAGCTTTTGGGGCAGCGGGTATCAACAGGGTGTCCATTGGTCTCCAGGTAACCCACCTTGCCCAGTGCATCCCAGACCTTCGATGCCGTCTCTCCTTTGGTCACATTTGTTAACTGGGCAGACATTTATTGAGCCCCTCTGGGTGCCAGGGCCTGTAGGCGTGTCTGTTGCTATGCTAGACCACAAACTCCATGAGGCAGGGATCATGCCTTTTTTTTTTTTTTTTAATTTAATCAGAGTATCCCAAGCACCCACGTAGCACATGATACATAATAGAGAAATTTTTTGTTACGTGATTGGAGACATAGAAGGGGGCAGATGGGTCATCAGATCATAGCAGCATGGTAAAGGCTGCCAGTAAAGTGGGCCTCAACAAAAGGCTTTTAGAGTACAGCCTGAAGGGCAGCTCAGTCTGATGAAATCCTAGAAAACTTCCTGGCGGAGGTGGTCTTTGAGGAGGAGGAGTTCCACGGGAGAGACGGCATGAGAGGAAAACACACAGGATATGGAAGAGCCTTGCATGTTCTAGGGAGCCGTGAGTCACTTGTCATTGGAGAGGCTGGAGGCAGGGCTGCAAGATGGGGCCCCAAAGCCTTGAGCAGCACACAAGGGAGTTTGGGGTTTTACCTAGTGGTGATAAGGGACTTCTTGGAGGTTTTTAGGAGGTAGGGGAGAGACATATCCTCAGGTGGACTCCTGGTACTTCCCTATCCAGTATGATCCACCCTTCTGATACCTCTACCACTTAACCATACAGTTTGGGGTCAGGGCTTTGCCCCAGTGGGATCTACTGAACAGGACACATCATTTCTGAGACATTCCGGCCCCAAATTATATCTTAAATCGACTTGTGAGGAGCCATCAGGAAAATCTAAATTAACAGACTTTTGGTGGGTGCCTGGCTGCCTCAGTTGGTGGAGTGTGGGCCTCTTGGCCTCAGGGTTGTGAGTTCAGGCCCCACGTTGGGTGTAGAGATTACTTAAATAAATAAATAAACTTAAAAAAAATTTTTTTGTGTGTGGTAAGAACAGATAACCTGAAATCAGTTTACCCTCTTAACATATTTTTTAGCGTACAGTACAGTGTTGGTAACTATAAGCACAGTGTTGAATAGAAAGTCTCTAGAACTTACTAAGCCAAGTTTTAGGGCTGCCTGGGTAGCTCAGTCGGTTAAACATCCGACTTCGGCTCAGGTCATGATCTCATGGTTCATGGGTTCAAGCCCAGTGTCAGGCTCTGTGCTGACAGCTCGGATCCTGGAGCCTGTTTTGGATTCTGTGTCTCCCTCTCTCTCTGCCCCTCCCCCACTCATGCTCTGTCTCTCTCTGTCCAAAATTAAATAACCCCCCCCAATAAAAAAAAAAAAGCCAAGTTTTAAACACAACCAGCCTGTATTCATCAAAAATGTCATGGCGTGAAAGACAAAGACTCAAAGAGACAAAAGACACAATGAGAGCTGAAGGCAGCGTGTGACCCAGTTGGGCCCTGGATTCAGGTGGGAAGAGGAAATTACTCCACCAGGTATTATAAGCACAAGTTTGACTGTGACCACGTATTAGATAATGGTTTTGTGTCACTGTTATGTTTCCTGAACTGTGTAATTGGATTGTGGTTACGTAAGAGAATGTTCTTGTTCTCAGGAAACACACACTTCAGTATTCAGGGGTTCTGGGGGACAGTGTTTAAGTTAATTATGTTGAAGCCACCGCATTGCAAGGGCTCCCGACCGTGTGGTCAGTGGCTACTATGTTCTGCTAAAATGTTCTATATCTGCAGAGACCGATGCAGTAGCCACTGACCACATGTCAGTAAACACTTGGAATGTGATTATTTAAGTTTAACTAACATAAAATTAAAAAGCCACCTGTGGTTAGTGTCTACTGCATTGGACGGTGCAGATAGAGAACACTTCTGTCATCCCAGAAAATTCTTGTGGTCAGTGCTGGTCTGTAACTTACCGTCAGATGGTTCAACATTGTAATCACACAGAGGCGTCTATTTAGAGACAAAGCAAATGTGGTGAAGTGTTATTCGGTGAACCTAAATGAAGGTGTTTATGTACTTTGCTTTCAAATTGTCTGTAAATTTGAAGTATTTTTAAAAGTAAAATCTAAAGGTCCTCTCAGGGGCGCCCGGGTGGCTCAGTCGGTTAAGCATCCAACTCTTGATTTGGCTCAGGTCACGATGTCGCGTTGGGTTCGTGAGGTTGAACCCCGCATGGGGCTCTGCACTGACAGGGCAGAGTCTGCCTAGGATTCTCCCTCTCCCCCTGGCTCTGCTCCTCTCTCGCTCACCCTCTCAATCTCTCTCTTTCAAAATGAAATAAATTTTTAAAAAACCTTTTAAAATAACATAAATGGGGGGCGCCTGGGTGGCTTAGTCGGTTAAGCGTCCGACTTTCGCTTAGGTCATGATCTCGCGGTTCGTGGGTTCGGGCCCCGCGTCGGGCTCTGTGCTGACTGCCAGCTCAGAGCCTGGAGCCTGTTTCAGTCTGTGACTCCCTCTCTCTCTGACCCTCCCCTGCTCACACTGTCTCTCTCTCTCTCCTAGAAATAAAAACATTAAAAAAAAAAAAAAAATAAAAAAAAAATAAAATAACATAAATGGATAAAGAAATAAAAGCACTCTTAGCTTTGGAGTCAGACAGTCCTAAATTCCAGGTATGACTTTGCCATTGTACGGCCTTGAGCGAGTTATGTAACATACCTGAACCTCAGTTTTCTTATCTGTAAAATGGAGCTAATGTTGGAGGATTCTAAGGACACATTAGATGGTGCTAATAAATGCTTTGCACATAGTGAACCCTGGCGAGGCGGAGCCCGTGGTACTGGCTTGACCGTTGCCTTGCGGCTCCCTGCTGCGTCCTGTGCGCCTGTCCACAAGGAAGGCCGGTCAGGTGTTCCCGTGTGCCTCTGAGCTGGCCTCCGTGTCATACCGGGCCCTCTCTCCTCAGTCCCTAGACGACACGGAGCTCCGGCTGCTGGGGCGGACACACTCGGCCAGCGACGCTCTTCAGACCCTGGCCGAGGCCCGGCGTCTCTTTCCCGGGCGTGTATCTGTGGACCTGATGCTGGGGCTGCCGGCACAGAAGTTGGGGCCGTGGCTGCAACAGCTGCGGGAGCTGCTGGGCTGCTGTGACGACCACATCTCCCTCTACCAGCTGACCCTGGAGCGGGGCACCGCACTCTTCACCCAGGTGCAGCGGGGCACCCTTCCCGCCCCCGACCCCGAGGTGGCTGCTGAGATGTATGAGGAGGGCCGGGCGCTGCTGCGGGAGGCAGGCTTCCGCCAGTACGAGGTCTCCAACTTCGCCCGCAGTGTAAGTCTTGGGGCTGCTGGCTGAAGTTGGGGAATGGACAGGCTAAGCCGGGAGTGGAGAATTGTGGGGCGGGGGGTGGGGGTGGGGTTCTGCTGGGTGATCTCCAGGCCTGAGACAGGGGACATTCCAGCCACCCAGGGCAGAAATGGGCCCACCTTCTTCCCTCTGAGCGGGCTATTCCCTCCTTCCCCACAGGGGGCGCTTAGTACCCACAATTGGAATTACTGGCAGTGCGGTCAGTACCTTGGCGTTGGGCCCGGTGAGTCCCCTGTGAACCCTAGAAGGGATGACTCAGGAGTGGAATGTCATGGCCGTGTGATCTCGGGCCACTTATTAACCTCTCAAAGCCTCTGTTTCCTTACCCATAAAGCGCAGCAAAAAATAATGCTTACTTTGTAGAGCTCATGAATATGTATTTTGAGATGCTTGAAATTGCGCCCAGCACTGTGGTTCTCAATCGTTACTGTGTATCACAGTTACCTGGTGGGTTTGTTGAAACCCAGATCGCTGCGCCCCGCACCCAGAGTTCAGCTGGATGGGCATGATTGGAGTAGGGCCAAGAATTTACATTTCCAGCGTATTAGATGCTGGTTGTCCAGGGACCACAGTTTGAGAATCACTGATTTAACATCTGGCAGGCACATGGCGTTAGCCGCTACTAAAGTGAAGATAGCTGTTGGTGTTGTCAGGGGCCCATGGGCGATTTGTGCCCCAGGGGGCCAGGGGCCACACCCGGGAGGCTCGGATCCAGACCCTGGAGCCGGACAACTGGATGAAGGAGGTCATGCTGTTTGGTCACGGCACCCGGAAGCGTGTGCCCCTGGGCAAGCTGGAGCTGTGAGTACCTGAGGACACAGGGCTCTTGACCTTGGGTTGGCCTGCACCCTGCCCCAGAGCCATCTCTACTGGCACAACTTTATTTCCTGCCTTGCCCTGCCCCCTGACTCCCCGCCCTGCATGTCCTCATAAGCACCCCATCCCCACATCCCAGCATAGGGTTTGAAGAATGGGGGTGCGGCCAAGGCTTCTCTCCAAGACACCTTGACGGTTTTTCTCTCAGGCTAGAGGAAGTTTTGGCCATGGGGCTACGTACAGACGTGGGGATCACTCACCAGGTAAGGGGTTGGGGTGGGGGCTGTGGCACACCGCTTCCTTCTCCTAAGTCTTTCAGAATCACTCCCCCTTCTGTGCTCACACACAGACACACATACCCGAGGCCTGATGGGCGGAAGCAGTGGGCAGTGTGGGGCAGCGGTGGGAACCCTGGATGAGGGCTGCACCCCCGCCCCCACCCCAGCTCTAGATGTGCATGAGTCAGTTGCAGAGAGCCCTGTGTGGATGGGACCCTCCCTTGCCCTTCACCACGCCCCCAGACCTGTGCCCAGACCAGCCAGCCACCCACCCTGTGGTCCCTGCATCTCTCATCATTCTCGGTTCCCAGCACTGGCAGCGGTTTGAGCCCCAGCTGAGCCTGTGGGATGTGTTTGGATCCAGCCAGGAGGTGAAGGCATTGCTGATGCAGGGCCTGGTGCTGCTGGATCACAGGTGTGTTTGGGGGGGGGGGGAGGCGGGAAGGGTGTCAGGAGTCCCAGGGAGCCCTGGGTACAGACCCACAGACCCAGGAAAAGCACAAAAGACCGACAAGGGGGGCCCTGTGAGTGCTGGTGACTTTGTACCGGTGGATGGTGAAGCTCGAAATTGGTAAGATGAGGCAGTTACATCCAGGCTTCTTGGTTTTCCAGAGGTCTTCGGTGTTCGTGGGAAGGCCTGGCTGTGCTCGACTCTCTGTTGCTGACCCTCCTGCCTCGACTCCAAGAGGCCTGGCTGCAGAGAGCCCCCACCCCTGTGCAAGGAGGGTAACCAGATGTTTCTGTATCCCCGGACAGGGCCAGGTGGGCTCTGGAGGCCGGACTGACCCTCTCCACTCGCAGGTGCCGTCCTGGCTCCTGTCAGTGCCCGACCTTGGTGTCCCCGGGGGTGTGGCTACCGTGAGGTGCATGGGAGGACTTCTCTGGTTTGGAAACTGGCATCGAGTCTGCCCAGCACTGCCAGAGAAGGAGTGATGGTTTCTCAAGAGCGTCTCATTCGTGGGACGCTAAAGCCTAAAGCCTTCCTCTTTCGCTTTTGACAACCCAGTTATGTCTGGGGTGTCAGAGCCTCCAGACCCTCCTGTGTCCCCTGCTCCCCTCCTCTCTACTTCTCTTGAGAGTGAAGGTCAAGGGGAGCTAAGCAGGGAAAGGGGAGGGAGGAGAAGAATTCGAGAAAGATCCAGAGCCTGGTAATTTTCCTCTGGCCTTTTACCGGCAGAAACAATCACCTGGTTTTATTTAAACAGCCTCACAAGCCCAGGGAGGGAGCCCGCCTTGACCTTGATCGTCTCCTTTTTCTAGGCTCCTTCCCTGGAGAGTAGAATCCTGATTTGGGGGCTCGAGGCTTAGTCCAGGGCTGAGATTCCTTCCCCCACAGTACATGCCATTTTAAAAGATCTCAAGCCTACAGGAAAGTTAAAAGCCGAGTTCAATGTAAACTACATAGCCTTCGTTGCAGGGTGTCCGTACAGTCTGGAAAGAGGAAGTATTCATAATGTCATCAAGGCCATCTTCAACCTGTAAAAAAATAAAATAGCAATGTTTCCAGACTTTGTGCTCATCCCATACAGTCGGTGACTGCTACACTTTGGCCACATTTACTTTACCTTTGAATCGCTGGCCGGCGCTTGCTTTCTTTCTTTTTCTTTGCTGCACCATTTGAAAGAAGGGCATAGACATCAAACATTTTAGCTTGTGTTTCCTAAGAAAAAGAACATCGTCCAATATAGCCACAGCACCATCACCAGGCTAAGGAAGTGTATGTTCGTGCAACACCGTGTGGTCCATTTTCAAATGTTTCCAAAATGCCATAACTCTCTTTGGGGGACCGGGGGGCTCAAGAACACCGACTCCAATAAAGTTTTATGCTTTACTTTTGTCGGTTATGTCTCCTCATTCTTTTTTTTTTTTTAAGCCTCCTTCCTTTTTGTTTATTTTTATGACACTGGATTTTTTCAAATCAAGGCTGCTTGTCTTCTAGAATGTCCCACATTCTGAGTGTATCAGTTTGCTGATGATTGGGTTTAGATGGAATATTTTTGGGAAGAACACGTACAGATATTGTGTAGCTCAAGGTACATAATGCCAGGTCAGGCCCCTGTCAATAACGCTAATTTTGATCACAAGGTGGCGGATGTCCGATCTGTCCATAGCACATTTTTTTCCCCTTGAAAGTTAATAGATTATCAGTAGCGTGATTCCTTGACACCAAATGAACACCCCGTTCCCTGACCATCATTGCCCCAGTGATTTTAGCATTCGTTGATGATCCTTTGCCTAAATCAGTGACTGGAGTATGAGATGCAAAATGCTTATTTTTGACTCTAACATTCTGTCTACATTCATTAACTGTCATTCCTCTATTTAAAAAAATAAAAGCTTTCCCTGTTGTCTTTTTTTTTTTTTAACATTTGTTTATTTTTGAGAGAGAGAGAGAGCAGTGGAGGGACAGAGGGAGAAGGAGACACAGAATCTGAAGCAGGCTGACAGCTCAGAGCCTGATGCAGGGTTCGAACCCACAAACCGCGAGATCATGCCCTGAGCAAAAGTCAGACACTTAACCCACTGAACCCCCAGGCGCCCCAACTTTCCCTGTTTCTGAAGGGCTGAAACTCTTCACCTAGAAATTGTACGCAGGGTGTGTGTGTGTGTGTGTGTGTGTGTGTGTATGTACGTGTGTGTGCGTGCACACACTCACGCCTGTGACAGATGGGCAGAGGGGTGGGGAGAGAGAGACAGAGAGAAGGGCATTTTCCAGTGCAGAGGCTCTGTAACTTTCATTTCCTATCACATCAAAGGGTAAAATGATGTCAAAAGGAATTTAGTTACTTAGTTACTGCTGCAGCTCCGAGCATGCTAAGCTCAGCCTCTAAGAATGACTAAGAATGGGGTTCCCTGCACCCCTCAGAGGTGAGCACGTGCATTCCCTGGGTGCCTAGCGGGTGTGAATATCAGTCCTTCTTTGACCCTGCGGTAACGTGGTTAGTGTTACTACCTCTCCTCTATTCATGAAATATTCAGCGCGCACTAATGGGGTGCTTGGCACTGCGCAGGGCACGCAGGGAGGAATAAGACCTGTCTCAGCCCTCGAGGAATTCGGTGCCCTGTTGAGAGATGTGTCAAGAGATAAATTCCCGGGTTATCTGTGAAGATATGCAGGCAGCCAATGGAAGCCTGCGTGCATTTGGTTCCGAAGGGCTTGGAGCAGGGAGGGGGAATATGTTTCTTCACCACCTCCTCTGGCCCCGGCGTAGCTTGAAGGGTGACCTGTGTGAGGGGTGGAGGCGGGGTGGGGGGCTTTCTTCCAGAGCCTTCCCCTGATCTTGATATTCAAGACGTGAGCCCAGAGCCGGCGCAGGTGAACCGTCAGATAACCCGGGTGCACTCGGGTTTCTCCCTGCTGCCAGGGCTCGTGCCACCTGAGACGTCTGGGCCCTCCCTTGCCAGGGCACCTCGCGAGGCCCGCGCAGAGGGCCTGGACGGAAGCCAGGACCAGGTGGGGGTGGCACGGATCGCCTTCGGTGACTCAGCCTGGTCCCACCCTCACCGGATGAATCGGAATCTCTGGGAGGTGGAACCTGGGAAGTTCGTTTTTAAGCGCTTCCTGAGCAGCGCTGACAATCAGGCCGGTCTGGGAGACCTGGCATCTCATGGCTTCCATCCCGAGAGGCTGCGGTCAGGAGGGACAAGGTGGGATGTGGGTGCTTTTCAATCTGACGAAGTGGAGTAGGGTCCACCCCTCTGTATCCCAGGCCTTCCAAGACTCCTCCATTAAAAAAGTTCTCTTCCTCTTCCGTATCGAGACTTTTTAAAATTTTTTTTCATTTATTTAAAAAAATTTTTTTATTGGGGCGCCTGAGTGGCTTAGTCGGTTAAGCGTCCGACTTTCGCTTAGGTCATGATCTCGCGGTTCGTGGGTTCGGGCCCCGCATCGGGCTCTGTGCTGACTGCCAGCTCGGAGCCTGGAGCCTGTTTCAGTCTGTGACTCCCTCTCTCTCTGACCCTCCCCTGCTCACACAGTCTCTCTCTCTCCTAGAAATAAATTAAAAAAAAAAAAATTTAAAAAAAAATTTTTTTTTATTGAGAGACAGAGCAGGAGCAGGGGAGGGGCAGGGAGAGAGAGGGAGACACAGAATCTGAAGACAGGCTCCAGGCTCCGAGCTGTCAGCACAGAGCCCGACGTGGGGCTCGAACCCATGGACCGTGAGATCATGACCTGAGCCAAAGTCAGGCGCTTAGCTGGCTGAGCCACCCAGGCACCCCTGTATTAAGACGTTAGCTGTCATCTTTTCACACACCCCCACCCACCCAACTAGGGGCACAGAAACAACAAATAAAAGGAGACAACAAGCCACTTTGGGGACAAAGTGATGTGAGGAGCTGAGGGAAGCGTAACATGCGGGAGTGCGTGGTTACAGCTTGAAGGACCAAACCTTCCACTTGTAAGAGCGCTACAATTTTACAGCCTGTGGCTGAGCCACTCTCTCCCCCACCAGGTAGTGTGAAGTAGGTAGAACAGCGATTTTATTTTATTTTACTGTTATCTTTTTTAAAGTAGGCTCTTGGGGTGCCTGGGTGGCTCAGTTGGTTGAGCGTCCGACTTCAGCTCAGGTCATGATCTCGCGGTTCGTGGGTTCGAGCCCCGCGTCAGGCTCTATGCTGACGGCTAGCTCAGAGCCTGGGGCCTGTTTCAGATTCTGTGTCTCCCTCTCTCTCTGCCCCTCCCCTGCTTGTGCTCTTTTCTCCCTATGTCTCAAAAATAAATAAATGTTAAAAAATTAAAAACAAAAAATAAAGTAGGCTCTTTGCCCAATGTGGGGCTCAAACCTGAGACCCTGAGATCAAGAATCGCGTGCTGTACCGACTGAGCCAGCCGGGCACCCCTGGGGCAGATATTTCCATTTCCATTTTACACGTGGGGATGTTCTTGACTCGGGTCGTATGAGTAAGAAGTAGCAGACCTGGCATAACACTGCTGGACATCCAGAACATTCTGTTGCATCGTCGTTTTATGCTTACCCTGGATCCAGGCTGATTAACCTAAATCAGGCAGATTCCTGAGCTCTTTCAGGCCTCTCTGCCTCAGTGCTGCTCTCTGTGCCTAGGTCCAGGTAGCTTGGATGTGGTGTCTCTCCCCCACCCCCGTAAAGGCTCCAGCAGTGACACCATCCACTTCCTGGAACAGAGCTACATTCTGCAAAGAAAAGGACTTTAATTAATAGGCTTGCTATAGAGTCAGTGTCTGTTTTATCCCCTCCCCCACTGCCCACCCCAAGAATTCACACTGGGAAACCTAATCCGCAAGGTGATAGGAGGTGGGGACTTCAGGTTGGTGACGAGGCCATGCGGGTGGAACCCTCATGAATGGGATTAGTGCCTTTTAAGGGAGGTTCCAGAGAGCTCCCTTGCTCCTTCCACCACATGAGGACATGGAGAGGAGGTGGTCCCTCACCAGACCCTTGAATCTGCTAGCGCCTTGATCTTGGACTTCTCCACCTCCAGAACTGGGAAGTAAACGTCTATTGCTGAAGCCATCCGGTCTATGGCATTTTTGTTACAACAGCCCAAACAGACTAAGGCAAGGGGGAGATTTACTATTGTTGACAATGTTCACTGCTCCTCCTTGATGACCCCTCCCTGAAGACCCGTGGGAGATCATACACCTGCCCCGTCGGACCTGGGAAGGGCTGTGACACTTGCTTAGTGCCGTCTGTGAGAGCCCATGGGTGGGCCGCTGTCTCCTCCCTCGGCCACAGGCACCTGCAGTGTTCAGGGAGAGACTGTCACCCTGGGCCCCGCAGTGAAGATGGGGGCAGAGGAGCAGCCGGGCGCAACAGCCACGAGCCAAGTGAGATATTATCTTTGCTGTTGGAAACTGATAGGTTTTTGGGTTGTTTGTTACCACAGCACCATTGAGACTACACTGGCCATGCCATTTATAATCCCACCGTTCAGATTACTCACCGTGAGAAATTCATACATGCAAATGAACATGTTTACATACATGATTCTTTTTTAAAGTTTATTTAGTTTTGTGTGAGAGAGAGAGGGAGACAGAGCATTAGAGGGGGGACAGTCAGAGAGAGCGGGGGACACAGAATCTGAAGCAGATGCCAGGCTCCGAGCTGTCAGCACAGAGCCCCATATGGGACTCGAATTCACAAGCCATGAGATCACGACCTGAGCCGAAGTCAGACATTTAACCGATGGAGCCACCCAAGGCTCCCCTATAAATATTTTTTAAAAGGCACCTTTTTAAAAAATGAATAGATTTTTTAAAGTTTATTTATATATTTTGAGAGAGAGAATGTGAGTGGGGGAGAGAGAGAATCCCAAGCAGGCTCCATGTAGTCAGCACAGAGCCCCACGTAGGGCTCGAACTCATGAACTATGAGATCATGACCAGACCCGAGACCAAGAGTCAGACGCTTAACCACCTAAGCCACCCAGGCGTCCCTATGATACATAATCTTACAAAAATGGGATAATCTATGTCTTGCTGTGCAGCCTTCTACCTAATATGTGGTGAGCATCTTACCATGTCAGATTTGCTATCTAGGGGCACCTGGGTGGCTCAGTCAATTAACTGACTCTTGATTTTGGCTCAGGTCATAATCTCGTGGTTCATGGGTTGAGCCCTGCGTCTGGCTCTGCGCGGACAGCATGGAGCCTGCTCGGGATTCTCTCTCCCTTTTCCTCTACCCCTCTCCTGTGCTCGCTCTCTCTCACAATAAATAAGTAAACAACAAAAAAAATTGATATCTCTGCCCCATTGTAGCTCCATAGTGTACCACTGCATGGTTATGCCAAAATTTGGCTTACCAATTCCTTTTTGGTGAAACTGTGTGATGAACATCTTATGTAAATATTTCT